GTTTGGTGGCCACTGACTTTGCTTTAACTTCTGAACTCTGGGTCATGTATGCTTCATGTTTACAGATGGCGCAAAGCATACATGACCCAGAACTCAGAAGTCCCCTTGCCCAAGAGGCAAGAAGTCATCTTTCTTCTTAAACTGTCTGTCCATTCCCAGCAATGTTCCCCTTTCCTCCAGTTGCCTTTCAAAGTGAAATTGCGAACACTGCTGTGTCCTGAGGGAGGAGACTCTTGCTGCAGACTTAGAAAGTAGTGTCTGAGAAGACAGAGTACCTTCCTTGAGTAACTCAGTGGTCTCCAAAGTCCGATTTTGCTTCATGTAAACAGTTCTGATCCATCTACATTAAGCGCCAAGATTCCATACAGGATTCTGGATCACATCCTGGCCAAGGCTGCCAGAAGCTGCACACTGCAACCTCATCTGCTGATCCAACACAGTTCTTGCAGACAGTTGTAACACACAGATTATGTACCAACAAGCACACTTAATCACATAAATTTTGCATAAATCAAAGCCCATTCTAAAATGAAACTGAAGGGAATTGGAGTAAACACGCTTTACACAGTTCGTAGAATGAGGAAATACATTCTTTTATTAAGCAAACCCCTTGGTCTCAGCGGTGACAACAGACCCCTATTCATTTCAGTAACTGCTGAGCAGAGTGCATGATTAATAACTTTTAAAAAGCTGGTTTAGTGGGAGCCAAGAAAACAAAATACAAAGGAACTAAGCTTCGGGGCTACACAATTAGTTTTACTGCAAAGTATTAATATGTAGTGATTCTTATGATAACTTTTCTTATGCAAATGTTGAGGGTGATGACTGTTAAATATCAAAATAGCAGGTGAAGACAAAAACAGATAATGTACTGAAAGCTTTTCAGAGTCCTTATATTACAGTCAAAAATAGAACTTCAAAGACTTTAAAGCTAACAGAAAGTCCCTCTTCAAGGGAGAACACATTAAAGACTTGTCATAATCCAAGCAAATTGATTGCACTGTTTTAACTCTGAAAAATAGTTAAGTATCTTCAAGTGAAACAGTGTTGTTCATATAAGTACATGCAACTACTCCCAGGAGAAGATGAGAATTAAAGCCCACACATTCTGTTGTGCAAAAACCATAAGCAACTCTTGACTCAGAGAATTAGCTCAGAAGTTAAAATATTTATATTTTCAAAGTGACTGGTTAAGTCCTCATAGTCCTTAAACATCATCAGGTCACCACATGAGTTGGTAAAACAGTAAGATGATCCAATAACCCAGCAGCAATCCAACTGCAAGCAGGAGGATCAAAAAACTTGGCAAGCAGAAGGAATACTCTAAATGCAAGCCAAAGAACCAGATTCTGAAATTATTTCTGTATATTAATGAACCAAACTTGTGTAATATGCTTTACCACAAAAAAATGTTATTTACATTATACATTATCAACCGTGAATGAAGCTTCCTGAGTATGAGATTGCAAAGAGCAAATCTGCCTTGTTTACAGCAATGGTAACACAAATTAGGAAGCCTGGAACAAAGGTACTGCAATGTACTCCTGCAAGGAAATGCAAGAAAAACTTTGATGAAAAGCAAAACATCATGAGCTGAACAGCACAGTGGTTTTAAAATGTGTAGAGTATTTATTTACAAGGTTTAATATTTCATAAATACACAGACGCAAATAAGACAGATACTCTTAAAACAGTAACAAAAAATATTCCGTTACACCTTGTGGACTTTGGTTTTCAATGAATACAAGCAATGTTAAATATTGCTGTAGTAGATTTGGTACTTGACTGCTAATTTTACACTAAACAAACACTGCAAAAGGCAAAACAGGCCTTTAGGACACAAGAGGAAAAACACTAATTCCTGTCCTTCCCTTAACATCTACATTTCCAGAAAATAAGGGACCTGATCCTTCACCTGTACACGTTTATTGTTACTCTCATGAATAAATCTCAAAGATTTTAACAGAAAAGAATTCATGTTAAGAAAGGCAAACAAGGGCACATATATATTCTGGACTGAGGAAAAATTGGGCTTTTCATATAATAATTACTTTAGTAACACCTATACAGAGGTTTTGCATACACAAGGAAAAAGTGTTATGGAACAAGAAAATATATATTAAACATTTCAACTAATATACTACAGCTTTATTGAAATTACAAGTTGACACACACTGCTATGAATAAAAAAACATTAGCTTGTTGCAGTTAAATGAGACTGAACTCTGCTGTACGTTCTGTATTCCAACTGCTTCAAGCACAGCAAGGTATCAGCCCTCAGGAGGCAGAATCCTGCCTCATTTAAAGTCAATGGGAATTTTGCCATTGATTTCAGAGTAGAAGAATGTTTTGGAGTTAGCTTTCTCCCTATCTCCATGTTTTTTAAAAAGTCAGACCAGAGAGAAATCCTTCCCGTTCCAAAGAAATATGACTAAAACACGAAAATAAAATAAATATACAGGATTTATTCTCAAATCTCTTGCAACAATTCGATTCCAGGAGAAGCTGAGAATTTTATCATCTTTCTCTTCTATACCCACCCACAACCTGTTTTTGTTTGACTACATATTAACAAAATCCTATGCATGGATTTCATTAGGGCTGGAAAAGTATGTACCAGAGCAGTTTAATACAGGGTAACACATGCAGCAGGACTAACCACCTTCAGTTCAGATCACTCAACACTTGGCTGTGCATACTCCCTTCTTTGAGCCAGAGTTGCCCTTATCTGGATATTTCCTCCCTTGACTTGTACCAAGCTGTCCTTTTGCCCCTCTTTACTTCATTCCATACAGAATCTCAACCAGGGATACATGCCTTTCAAGTGTGAAAATTGCTGGACTCCAGAAGGGCTCCACATTTCATACTCGGGAAGTTACAAAAGCACAAGGGGAATGCTATCTAATCCTAACTGTTTAGGTACACAAACACATTGCCAGATGACCCAAATGTCCGGATCTCTCCTAAGGCTGTGTTTTTCATGTTGGCAGATAAGCCTTCCCTTGAAGGCTGAAAATGAGGCATATACCAGTATGAAAAAAAGCCATTTGATTTATGAGAAGCAAACCTGCACTTCGTTCTGCCAGGTCCTGGTCAGCTCCCAGCCAGCCACAGCAAGAAGCTTGGGTAACTCGATTCACTACTGAATTTGGGCACCTCAAATGAAGGTAGCATTATTGTGATTGATGTGGTTTTATAGTATTTTCGTAGTGAGAAAACTTCCAGTTTGTTACCAACATAAATCTGAAGTAAGCAAAACCATACATCAGCTGCTTGCAAAAGCTTGTAAACCATGACAGAAGCACTCTGAATATTTCACTGATGTCTATTTCTGGTTAATGTAAGTCAATATTCTAGCTAATATAAGATGTTATTAAGAAGTCTTCACAGAACTGATCTGCAGGAAATAAGCTCCATGTAGCCCTGCCACTGCACTGCATGAGAGGTTTCCTATGATGAATATGGAGACCATAAAGCATGTGTGACTTGGTGTACTTTAAGCAGAATAAATTACACGCCAGGCAGAGGTACCTTGCCTTGGATGCTAATGTTTGACTTTTGTGCTTTTCCCCTACAAATCTTTCTACTGATATAAGTTAGCTTCACAGATTTGCCCTTGTTCCAGCCTCTACTACTAACCCAAACACAAGGGTATCACAACATGAAGACAGGTGAAAGCTTCAGAATTTGGAGGGAAGAGCAGCTCTTAACTTAGCTGTTCAATTAAGCCTTCTGGAAATGCCTTAACTGGAAGAAAGCAGCAACTGAAAAGCATCAAATCAAGCCTGTACCTCCAGAACACTGTTTGGTGATTTGGATCTGTACAAATAATCCTTTACTAAAGAATTACTTTATACAGTATCTGGTTTAAAAGGTTGTTCCCACAAAATAGGAGCAAAATGTAATCAAAGGAAGCTTATTCTTTTCAGTTATGGAAAGAATTTAAACTTGACTGTCACTGGGTTAAAAGTTATGCTATTATTCAACGCCAGGAGGCAAGAGCATAAAGCCATTGTGCCCAAAGAAACTAACAAAGTATTCAATGGGCCTTCCAAAAACTTTCATAAATAAATAAATAAATAAATAAATAAATAAATCTGAAAAACTGAACCAGTGCTCTCTTCTACCACTAGTTATGGACCAAGCCATACACGGTCCCACAAACAGCAACAGGGTACACTAACAGTGAGCCAAAGCTGTAGATAATCTGAGAAGTCATTATTTGTACCACTCATTCTCGGGGAAGTAACAATCGTATCCAACACATTCAAATACACTATAGGACGAATTAGAAATCTGCAAAGTCTAAGGCAGTGAAAGAGTCACAATACCTGTGCTTGAGCAGGCTCAAGCTTTACTTTGCCTAAAGGCAGAACTCCTACACTTCACTGGCAGACTTCAATGAATTTCGGCCTTATGTATTAATTTTAACATATGCTAAATGCAAGTTTAGAGCTCTCATTCTAAGAAGGCCACACTTAAATGTCACTCAGAACTGGACGATGCTCATTGAATTCAATAGGCTCAGCATAAAAATTCATGTGTGAAAACCTAAGCTAAAAACCATTTACTATTCAGAAAACTCAACTTAAAAAAAACTACTCTACCCAGAATTTTTCCTCAAATATTGTAAAACTTTCATCTTTCAGTTGGCACACAGCTGACATTGCCGTATCATTTCAATGTGCAATAAATAAATGGAGGGAGAGCAACGAAAAGAAACAAACAAAATCCCACAATGCTCTCAGAAAGCCACCACCACCGAGAAAATGTGTGAGACATCCTAATTTCTCAGAATTGCCTTATGGCACTGTTACAAATGTAGGTAACAGTAGTAATCAAATGTAACAAAGAAATTTCACCATGGCAATATTACTGATTTATTGACCATATGCAGGAGCCAAAATCTACCACTTACCTGGTGAGAGTTTTGAAACTGAAATTGAACATAACCTTTCCAAACATTGTACTTCTAGACTTAAACAAAAAGAGACCCTTACCAGGAATAACCATGAATAAGAGCCTGGGTAGATTTTTACTTTCATCTTTTGAGAGGTCTTTCCAGGGCCCACACTTTAAGACATGGGTAGCAGCTCCACAACAGTAGATAAATTCTTCGTGTAATGGGACTGGCTCTTCTGACGCCGGCCTCATTTTTGCTGTCGGGCAGAATAAGATACTGTTATAACAGGCCAACAAACACATAGCTAGCTCTTTGCTATTATACCTTCCCACAGAATAACTGCAAAAAAACGGGCCCAAACTACCCCACATCCCCCACAAAACAGCTGTCATATCCAGTAAACTGAAGTCCATATTTGATGTTTGAATAGATTGTAGAAGTCAGTACATGTTACTACTACATGAGAGAAAGCATCTTCCAGTTTTTGTCACAGAAATATACAGTGATGAATTGGACAGTAAGATCTATTCTACCTTAAAGACAAATAATTTTGTATTTCTTATTCATTAAATTCATGGAAAATCTGAAATGTATTTGAAGAAAAACAAAAGAGAAAATACCAAACACACAGAACTACTGCATGAATGTCTTTGTGAGTTCTGTGTGCCTCATAACAAAACTGGATATTGTAGCATACTACCATGACCTTTAACCAACAAAAGCATTTAGTGAAGGATAACATTAGGCCTTTCAACTATTTTTTCTTAGTGAAAAAGAACCACTCATTTTTGAGTACAAGGACACAAATTCTGTTTCCTAGTCAGTTTGTAAAGTTTCAGGTATGTAAACCAAAGCCTCAGATCTACAAAGTTTGCAAGATCATTAGGTGAGGGGTACTACTAATGGTCCTAATGGTCACTGGAAAATTCTCAGTGCTACACACCTTGAAAGGAACAGATCTGAATGAAATTGTAAGTAATGACACTTGGCCACGTTAAAAAAAGTACACTTGTACTTACTTCCCCCAGAACAACCAATGCAGAAAAGACAGATAATGTTTTGTTTTGAATTAACAGGTATCACCTTGAAAAAAAATTGAGTATAGTACGAACAGAAAAGATTTCTGGAGAGAAGGGAGAAGTGTTAATACTTTCCATTAAAGTACAATTCTCTGAAGAAACTCCACCCCACCCCCCTCCAGCCTACCTACTTCATGCCACTCCCCAAAATAAGAAGTCCACTTAACGACAAAGGAAACAGATTTACTACTTCATTATTTGCCATGTTATCATCTACCTTACAGTGACTGAAATGTAAGTAATTCAAGTAAATTTTGTCAGACTCTAAAAAAGTATATTTTTAATGCATTATTCCTGCCTTTATTTTTTCATTATTTGAAGCTGAAAGAAGCCAAGAGCAGCTCCGACAGAGAAACCCACTTACATCAACAAGCACAGTAAACATTAAGCTTGTCACCCCTTTTCTGAGGTGTTTATAATCAAAGAAGCAAAAGTAACTAGTCCTTACCCAATAAAGCAGGTTTTACACAAAGTTTCTGATCATGAACCAATTAGATCTGTTGCAAAATTTCATTCTCAATTGATTTCATGGAACGACTCCAAATGGAAATCTCACTGATAACTCTTCATTCCCAAGAAGCATTTGTAATGTAAGGTCAGAAGTCAAGCAACAAAAAAAAGAAAACTCAGCAACAGATTTTGGACTGGAGTGGTAGGATTTTCAGGTTCACACAAACTTGTAGTAGGTTTGGTTCAGTTTTTAACTTAACTTCTAATTTCAAACACTCACAGTGTTGCAGTACCTGAAAGGAAGACTGCACACTAGAAATGAATTGGTATTCTGGAAAGCTGCCAATCTGAGACAATCCCAAACAATTTCCTAGTATTGACACTATGTAACATCCGAGGGATTTTTATTTATTTATTGTTGAGTTTTTCATTTGTGACTTTATGGCCTTGTGGTAATAGAAATGGACGGAAGAGAAAAACATAATTGATAGTGGATATACTCCCAGCATAGTACTCAGACCTGTTTTAAGACAAAATCAGTAATACCCCACCTCAGGGTAAATCAAATCCTTCCCTATTTAGCAAAGTATATAATGAAAACTGAGACCATACACTTGCACCTGTGCACAACCAACACATATATTTGGGTATTTTACTACTGATCTGGATGCCAGCTACAGTCATTTTTTTCAGATAGCAATATTTGGAAACAGAGTTATCAAAGAAGAGCAGATTACTTCTGCTGTATGATCTAGTCTCTTCGTATCCATCTCTGGTTCAACTGACACCCAAATAAAATGCTGATAGTAAAACTAAGCTTCCTTTATATGCAATGGGCTCATTATTTATGTAACTCCCCTGATAACATATTAACTGCTCTGTCCTACACTATTACTTGGACTTGACATTTCATTTCAAAGATAACCTGGGAATAATAAAATTTTGGCACCGTCTCCCACTGCATTGTCTTTTCTAGGCCAAGGAAATACAGGCTAGGTAACTGACTTGCACAGTTTGAAAACTAACTGAACATGCTTAAAAGACAGTCAACTACTGGTTGTCAGCTGAATGTCAAGTAATCTTGGGTCAGCACTGGAGCCTATAAGGCTCAACGTTTTCATCAGAAACCTGGATGATGACACAAAAAATGCAAACAATGCTAAATCATCCGAAATGGTGGAGACAGCTGGAGTAGAGCTTCAGTTCAGAGGGTTGTTTCCTTGAGAACCTTAAGCACTGCGCTAACAGATCCCTTATGATGCTCAAGAGCAGAAAGCACAGAGATGTGCACCTGGAGCAGAACATCATGCTTCGGAAGCAGCTCAGAATTAGCTGAGCAGCAGCCCTGCTGAGAAAGATGCATTTGTCATGATGGATTCCAAACAAAGACAACAGTGGGCTCTCAACAGCATAAGGCACACTATGTATCAGACTGAAATTTGAAAAGCAAGGCCACCGGTTGGATGGAAGTCACTCTTGACTTCTATTCAACAGTAGTGAGGTCATACCTGCAACACTGAGCCCAGCTGTGTCCACCCCACAAGGTCAAGAACATAAGGAAACTTGGGAGGGTTGAGCAAATTAATAGATTAAAGAGGAAAAACTTTATGAATTGTGCTTTTTCAGCCTGCAAAGAAAAGTACAAGCTGTGATCAAATTGCAGCCTAGATCCATTTGAAAGAGACCTGCAAAACCAGCATAGCCAAACTTTTCTTCACAATGGTAGACAGTAAAACAAAAACTGAGAGCCACAACTTGTGTCTTGACAGTTTAAGATGTCACAAAAAATATTAGCGGCTAAGACAGCAATGGAAGGAAAACAGTGGAACCTCTCTTGTTGAGAGATTTTTAAGAGTCAGTTGGAGAAAAAAAAAGACAGTAATTTTGATCTGAAGAAAAGGACTAAATTTTCTCCAGAGGTTACTGGAAATCAACAGCTTACAATTCTTATGGTCCTAAACCACCAGAAAAATGATAGAGTGAGGTACAATGAGAATCTCAGCCAATTTTTCTAGTACATTAGCATACACAGTTTCATGACTACAGCACATGACAGCAACTAAGGATATAGGTCAGAGAAAAGAAATCTAAACTAGACCAGTCCCCCAAAAGTATAGGAAACTTAAGTAGATGTATTCTATGGATTAGCTGTACCAGCTTAAATGAAACTCTACCCTAATTGGTGATCTTATGTGATTGAATTCAACATCACAATGCAAAAGAATAACTGTAAAAATAGCGATACTCCTTCAGCTGCCTGCTGTGCTAAGGCTCTGACAATTTCTGCAACATTATCCCCAGAAGAGAATCATCCAGACCTAATGTAAGCTCCCTCCTTGATTTGCAGACTGGAACTTACATGCTCATAGCTAAGAACCAGAGGCATAAGGGACAGACTAGCTGACCTGGTAAAAAAAAGATCAACAAGGGACAACACGATGTGACAGACAAGGGACAACACGACACAACACAGGATACCTAGATCTTATCAAGGATTTATCTGGACAATCTACAAACAATGGATGCCAGATTTTCTAAGGAAAAACAACAAACATAAGCCAAAGACGCTGCAAGCTGTTGTGACATCAGTCACAAGTCTTGACCAATTCTGTACAAAAAAGGCAGCAGCAGCAGACAGTAGCACATAAAAATGAAACATTTCTTCATTGTATTTTCCAGTTCAATTCCCTGTCAAAGTCATATACTAGTCCCTTTCCCACTAGCTATGAATTAGTGAATAAAACCTGTTAGGTAATATTTGTAAAAATGAGCAAAGCTAACAAGTTAACACTATGGGCCCATCAAACAAAGCAATTATAGAAAATAACCCAATCAAACCCAAGCATCTATACCTAAAGCAGTTCAAAGCAGCAAGCTGCTTTTCTCTAAAACAACTGACGTAATTAGGCAGCCCTTTAGGGATCACTCAGTGACCTAGAAATCCGATGCCTTCACTTTGTTTTGTTCCTGTCTCATTCCCCCATGCCCCTCCCTCAAGCAGTATAACAGCAGGAGAATTTAACTGATGACTGCGCAAAAGTATCAGTGAAATGCGTGGAAATGGGGTACAGCTACTTGTGCCTAGGGCTGTAATGATAACAAGCTGAAGTGCAGAATGAAAACTACTCAGTGACCTAGAAATCCGATGCCTTCACTTTGTTTTGTTCCTGTCTCATTCCCCCATGCCCCTCCCTCAAGCAGTATAACAGCAGGAGAATTTAACTGATGACTGCGCAAAAGTATCAGTGAAATGCGTGGAAATGGGGTACAGCTACTTGTGCCTAGGGCTGTAATGATAACAAGCTGAAGTGCAGAATGAAAACTGGAATCAGTTTTCGTTTCTGAACCCTGTTCAGAGACAACATACAGGGGACTGTGCATAGACCTAAGGAGGGAGAAACCTAGTTTTAAGAACTAGACCTACTTGCAAGACCTACGTATTTGGATTTTATTATTGCTCATAACCTTGTACCAATGACCAAGAAACGCAGCAATGACCAAGTACAGTCCCAGTGGAAGGGAAGCAGAGAAAATAACTTCTGTGTATCAATTTTGTACTGGACAAGTCAGCCTCTGTCAGTGCCAGACATGATAAAACCAGTTACTGAGACAGTTTCTCAGCAAAGCAGCATGGGACTCGCAAATCAAAAAACTGTTGCCTTGGAAAGGCCCATTTGTGGATTCAAATCAGGAACAGATGGATCCCTCACCAATCTTGTTCC